TGCTGAGTGAAGCAAGCCAGGATATGAAAGAAAGATATTGTATATATCCACTTAACATATACCAACTATCCGCACTTTATGGTAGAGATCAAAATATTGGAGGGCATAAAAGCAATGAAAGTAGTTATAGATGCTGAAGACAATGTAGAATGGGGGAAGAAGGGAAGAGTATGGAGAAGGACCACAAGAGAACAAATAGAGAGGCCTGACATTAGCGGGACACAGAAATGGTTTATTACCTGTTGATGATACCATGTATAGTATTCTCAACAGGACTGCTCTGAGAAGTATTTCATGTTGGGTAAATTTTTATACAAATCAAATGATATGTAGTGGTTGAATGTTTAAAAAATGAGAATAAATAATAATAATAATAATAATAATCTGAAAAAATAATGAAAAGCTATTTGATGATGATGTGGATAGGATAGGAATGTCTTTGTCTTGACTGAGATGCATGATAATCATGCTGGAAAAAGAAATGTAACACACTGTAAAGATATATATGATTCATTGTAACAAAAAGTTTATGATAATATAATTTATTATAAAATTTTATTTTATATAAAGTTAAATATAAAAAAATCATGTGTTGGAAATAAACACTCATTTTTTTTTCTATTGCAGTTATGCTGGAATTCCCCTTGACATCTCACTGGTGGGCTGCTTTAGGTATAGTGGATTTGTTTCAGTTTAGGTTCTTTAGTGCACAATATAATGTAAAGTAGAATAACTTCTGGAAATAGATTTTTATTATCTTAGACATAGGTTTTCTTACATTATTATCTAGCTAAGACAATAATAGTAATGATGATGTCCAAGATAATGAAATCCACACAGTTTTACTGAAGATGGACTCAACTGGCTGTCTCATTTGCCCAAATACACTGTCAGGCCATTTCAGTTATAATCCACACAAGGAAAGCTGCCATCCTGATACATACTTGGGAACAAAAACAGATCATCAAATAGCCATATGAAGAATATTATTCTCTACTTCTCCTTTTGATAAAATTTAGAATTTAGACATACTTTGTTTGTTGCATAATAATGGAAGGACTGGAATAAGTGAAAAATGAATTAAAACCCCTCATCTTGGCAAAACTTCCATCAAGCCGTGGGTTTCCATAGCTTCCCTCTGAAGCTTACCCAACACGCTTTTCTTCCCTCTTTCTTTTCCCATTATTTTTCCCTTATGGTAGGAAAGAAGGACTGAGCTACAATGAATAGGGGAACTAGAGCAGAGCTATTTAGGTTTATTATCAAAACAAATCCCTTTCCAACATTCATGAATTCTCAAAAGGTTGATCTTCTGCTTTTGGTTTTTGTTTTGTTTTGTTTTGTTTTTTCAGCCTGCCATAGATCTTGTGTGCCCGTTAGAGAGGGACAGAAAGAGAGAAAAAGAAGAGGGTTGGCAGGAGAAATGAGAAATGGCCATGTCACAATCCCTTCTCCACTGTCCTCTCAGGATTTGGGGCACATATGTGTATGTTTCCTGCATGTTTTTTTAAGCTACTGGGTCAGAGACTTAAACCAGGCAGTGAGCCATGTGGATCAGTTGCCTTAACCACCATGCCACTAGCTGGCCTGTTATAGACAGCAGAGGCTAAAACCTGTTACATACATCACTGGAGGGAACTGCCTTTTGTAGGCTGATCTAAGTGAAGGAGTCAAGACTCAAGACATAATCTACATAAAGACAAAATGATGATGAACAAAGTGGGAACAACAGCAAAATTGGCCGTGTACTGAAACTAGTAAAGTGTGAAAAGAATCTGTGTGCAAGGAACAAGGACTATAAGAATATACTAATATACTAAAATAAATGAGCCTCCCCCCCTTTTTTCTGGTCTTCTCTCAATATAAAAGCCCTAAAAGTGTAGTGTAAAGCAGAATTTCTCAAACTTTAATGTGCATAGTGCATGTAAATCACCTGAGTATCTTTCTAAAATGTAGTCAGTCTGGGTAGAACCCAGATAGTGTGGGTACTGATGGTTCATGGACCATACCTTTTTCTGAGAGAGAGAGAGATTTTTGCTATAGGGCATGCACTTGCCGGAGGGACAGAAAGGAGAAATCATCTCCAAGCAGGATGGCCATGCTGCAATCCCTTCTCTATTCTCCCCTTGGGATTTTAGGCATACACACAAGCACACGCACCCAGTGTGAGTTTCAAGCTGCTGGGTCTGGAATTTGAACCATTGTCAACCATGTGGGAGTCCAGCACCTTAACCTCTAAATCATACTTCAAATAGCAATGGCATAGAGAACATTCTGGACCTTTTCCTTTCTCTTATACTACCACTAACTTGAAACAATGTCAATAAATGTTATGCTTTTACAATATTTCAAGCTTTTACAGTTAAGATGTTCTTTAAGGTGTCTAACTTTGATTTCCCTCTTGTTTTCTAAAACCATCATTTTATAAAAGTAAAATAGCCAACTACATTTAGCTCATTCTTTAGTTTTAAATAATCTCATGTAAATAATTGTGTTTCCCGTAAAATTTTATGAAATAAGAAAACGAAACTACAAAACAGCAAACCTGCAGATATTATAATAATATCACCTTCATTTATTTTCTTCCTTAATATTATATAATAATAATTAGAAATTTAGAGAGGGAAAGCAATATGACAATAGTAACATTTTCTTGTTGCTAATAATCTGCCCCATAAAACAAAGAGGATGCTTCTAAACAGATTTCAATATTTAAGAATGAAAATCATTTACTTTGAAATCTGTTGCACCTGTCCTTCAAACATGAAGAACATATATCTTAAAAAATATTGGGAACCAGCAGTTAGTGTAATGGCTATGTTGCTGGACTCATGTAGTCAACTGAGGTTTGAGTCCTAGACCCAGTGGCTCAAACTCACACCAGGCAGAGGTGCGTGCCTGCCCAAGAACCCGAGAGGAGAATGGAGGAGAAGGGATCGCGGTGTGGCCATCCCCCCAGGGGGTGATTTCTTGCTTCTATCTGTCTATCTCTGTCTTTCTGGTGAACATATGTACCATATAGCAAAAACCTCTCAAAAAAAATTACTCTTCTCAATTTGGCAATAATCTTGGTAGCAATATCTTCAATCTCTTATGACAACAGCAAACAAACATAAATATATCCTAGTATTGTTGCTCAATTGTAATGGCCTACACAATATTAGCAATACTTACCATTTTTGGTCTGTTATATGAGCCAGGGGCATTGCATTTATCTCACTACCCTTTATTATAACCCTGTGAGATAAGTATTCTATTTCCAATTTTGCAAATGTGGAAACTGAAGCTTATAGATTTGGATAATTTTGAGTTCTCTAGCCTTTTCTTCTCATACAGATTCCCACCCCAGAGATACTTCTACATGGAGATCCTGAAGCTATCACTGCAAAGATGTGACAGTTGCTGTCTTGATAGTGAGATAGACTCTAAGTTAGAGAATTTCAGGGTAATGAGCAGCGCTTATAGAAATGTATAGAGACAGCCATGCTTAGGCGATGGAAAGAGCAAAAAGGAAACTGAAGAGAGGACAGAATGATTCATCAGAATCACAAGCTCTGATAGGTCTTCCCTGTTGCTCTCTCGCTCTATGAAGATTGCTTTCAATTCAAAGAAACTAGCATGGGAGACACGACTTAGAAAAGAATAGACACATGGTCCAGTGATTTGTTTCTATATTAAACTCAGTTAGAAAATAGCAAAAAGGCTGCTTAGCCTTTTGTAAAGAAAGTTACAGAATAGCTTGATTATTTATTTATTTATTTTTGAGAGAGATTTTTGTTATATGGCAGTGCACTTGTTAAAAAGACAGAGAGAGACAGAAAGACAGAAAGCAAGAAATCACCCCCCACAAGGGATAGCCACAGCTCCATTTCTTCTCCTCCATTTTCCTCTCTGGATTTTCAGCACGCTCACACACACACACACACACACACACACACACACACACATCTAGTGAGTTTCAAGCAGCCAGGTCTGGGATTTGAACTGCAGTCAACTATGTGAGGGATAAGCACCTTAACCACTATGCCACCTTCTGGTCCTGATAGCTTGATTTTTATTTTTAAGTATTTTTAAAAATGTTAAGAGCTAAAATGTTTATAATAAAATAATCACTCCATAGTACAGTGTCTGACACATAGTAGAGTGCTCATATATATTTGTTGTGTGAATATGAGGGAAATGAAAGAAAATAAAGTAGCAGAGATTTTCCTGGCATGTAATAAGTATAATATATCTGAGCTTCTGACAGAGAACAGGCTCTGGTGGCCAACCAAGGGATGCTGTTTAATCCTCATCCAGGATGGGGGCTCAAAAAGAAAATAATTACCTACTGTCCATCATTTCCTGTCTGTATATGTAAGCATTATACCTTATATATATAGCATATAAGATATACATATGCATTTACATATATTATATGTTTATGTGTATAATAATATTATGTCAACATTATGTATTATATATAGCATTTCTTTAATATGATTATGTATTTATATATAAGTATGGGCATAAAAATTTTTCATAGAGTTCAATTAATTGGACCAGAAAACTGAATTGAATTCATCAAATAGAACTGAATTCATGTTTATATTACTTTGTAGCCCCTTGACTAGAGTTTTTCTCCATTTACCTTGCATATGTGTAAGTCTAAGATGTGTACTTTTCTCCAATATCATTTAGTACATACAGAAAACACATAAAATATTGATGTTGTATTTTGCACATTCTTCCAAATATGTAAATTTTTAATAAATCCAAAGAAAGGGTACTCAAAGAAATGCTAGAAACATATGCAGAAAGGTAGATTTTTCTCTCTGAAAAAAAAAAAAAACAGCTTATCTCTTTGGGATTTTATTGAGAATACCACAGGATTTACTGTGCCTTTGTCAGCTCAGTCACATACCAAATGTCACCTTGATGCCAAGGAGAGTCAACTGAGGCCTGATAGAATAGTCAATAGAATTTGCTAAAAGAATTGGGTGACTACTGGGTTGTCAGGAAAGTCATGGCATAGTTTTTCTTTTTTTTAAATACAAAAATGTGTCTCAACTTTTCTGACAACCCAATGTTTTAGTTTCAATAACCAGAATAGGGCTAGGTAGCCTTCTTTATTTTCCTTTGAGTGAAAAGTTAGATACAAGAGAACAATGGCTAAACTTGGAAATTCTGTTTCCAGGTCTCACGTTGAACCTGTGTCCTTGTGTGAGGAAGTTATTCCAACCTGTCAGGTTTCTTCCCTTAGGGAACTTTACTTCGTCATGGGGGTTGTGATGTGACAGTCACACAAGGAACAACAGAGTTATGAAAACTATGAGGTCAGATCAATATTTATAAACAAACAACACTCGTTGGACCAATGAAACCAGAACTAAAGGCATTTTTATAAAACCAAATAGCTGAGGTAGGGGGAATTCTGATTTTTAAAATAGTTCTTATGCTTAAAAATATTTTCCAAGTTAGTCAGCATGCTTTTCTTTTTTAATTAGAGGAGAAATACCTTATTAAAAATATTTTTAAGCAGCAACAATACAAATGGCAAGTCAGAAGGGCTAAGAGAATCAAGAATTGTGAGTTTCTTAGGGTGTGCTTTTACTGCATTGCCTTTGAATGTCTGATTTAAGAGCTCCTTACCATGGATTTGACAAAACCATGCAGTTATTCTCTAAAGAAAGTTTTAAATTTCAACAATTTGCCAGCCCTAGCATATGTACCTATCCTCTCCTAGTTGAATCTATAAACTAGTCTATTTCAAATACTTTGTCAGTTTCAAAAACATTATTTTAGTCCAGACTATTGTTCTTAAGTATAATCTCACCAATGAATTATTCATGACTGGTAGTTAACCCAAATTTTCCTTTCATTTACTTGCAGGATCCGGCTTAATTTCAATGATATGTGGAGGCCAGATTTTAGCATATTGTTTGTACAAAGACAACTTTATCTATCCAGATCTGAATGATTTTTAACAGAACAGTTGGATTAATTTGCCTCAGAATTCCTATACTGTAACATGTTGTGAAAGAACTAAATTTTATTTTTCGTTCATATTTATATCCAACATTAAATTTATTCAGTACACTTTGTAACCATAAAAAGGAAAACAAAAAGTTCATGGAGAGTTGGAGGACCCTAGGAAAGATTTTGTAAGCTAAATGCTGCAAACTCATAACATGCTGTGTTTCCCAAAGCGTGTTCCACAGGACACTGATTCTGAAGGATGTTAATATTGCTATGTAATCAAAACAGTTTTGGGCTGGCCCAATGGCGTAACGGTTAAGGGAACTGAATCCTATATGACTGACTGTGTGGTTCAAATTCTGGCCCAGCAGCTTATGATACACACCAGGCGCTTGTGCATGTGTGTTCAAATCCCAACAGGATGGAGAAATGAAGGAATGGAGGTGTAATCATAGCTTATTATGGGGGTACTATCTCCCTCTCCTTCTCTCTCTGTCTTTATTTATCTCCAAGAAGTGCACGTGTTCACTGGCAAAAAAAAAATAACGTATTAAAAAAGTTTCCTACTTAAGTGTATTTGTTTCAGTAAACCAGACTTGAGTTTCAGTAAAACAGAATTGCTCCTTTCAGGGCTTCTTGGACTCTTTAACATTGTATACCGTAATTAGTAAATAAGGCATTTCTAAGCTGTAGTGTAAATTACTCAGTTTCTCAGATGCGTTTGGCCAGAGACATACTTTAGAAGATGCCGATGCATCGTGTGGAAAGTATGACACAGTAAACTGCTGCTAATCCCTGCAACTAGAATTACATTGGATTAGTTATTATTACTATGGGATTATTATTCTATTCTGTTTTAAAGAATTTTAAGAATTAGTTTTTAAAAAGAATTATTTTATTTAACTTTATTTACTTATTTTAATTTTACCAGAGAGGGACAGAGTGAGAGAAGGAAAGTTAGAACCAAAGCCACCAGGTCGGGTACTTGAACTGCAGTCAGCCATATGGGAGTCCAGTACCTTTAACCACCATGCCACCTGCCAGCCCCACCAAATTTTTTTTTCTCATTAGTGTTTGTTTCTTTTCTTAGTGCTAATAATCTGCTCTGTGGTCTTCTACGATAGTGCTTCTCAAAATTGAGTGTGCATTTAATTTATCTGGGGATCTTGCTACCATGCAGAGTTTGGTTCAGAAGGGCTGGATGGTGCCCGAGATTCTTTCTTTTTCTTTCTTTCTTTTTTTTTCCCTTTTGTTTGTTTGTTTGTTATAGGGCACATGCATTCACCAGAGAGGGAAAGAGAGGACAAGTGAGAAAGGAGCCCCCAGAAGGGCTGGCCACTCTGCAATCCCTTCTCTGTTCTCCTTTAGGGATTTTGGACAAGCCCACACACATGCCTAGCATGTTTTTCAAGCTTCAGGTTCTGGGACCCAAAAATGCATGGCTTGACCATATGGTATCCAGTGGTCTTAACCACCAAGTCACTTGCTGGCCCAAGAGTCTATATTTCTAACAATTCCCAGGAAACACCAGTCCCACATACACATAAACCACACCAAGGAGGAAGGGTCTAAGTGGCTGGAACCGCATCTTTTTAAAGTTTGTATAGCTCTATAAAAATGATACGTAAGTTTTTTTTTTATATATCATTGTCATTCAATAAATGCTATTGAATTGGATTTAAGCTGAGGTGACTTAAATTTATATAACTATATTAAATATTCACCACTCTTCAATATTTAAAATATCTCCTGATATAAATGAAGTGCACACTTCTGTTATGAGTAAAATGTAAATAAACATAGGAAAGGGGACAGGAAAGTCACGCATACCCCATACGTACCCACATAAATATTTTTAGAAAGTAAAACCATCGCCTAGCATTCTCTTTTTAGGTGAGTCTATTTTTTTTCCCCTAAAAATCCATTTCTTCCATAAAGACATTTATTCACCCACTAAGAAATGTCAGGCTAATGTTATGGATTCCAAAAGACCTTCCAAAAACTACATTGTATTGATCAGTTACTGGCTTAGAAAACTTAAACATATAATGTATATGTAGGCAGGAAAATAGTAATATTGTCTCCTTTCCTTCTTTCCTTCATGACTTATCCACACACCTTTCACCTCCCGTCCTTTATTCCCAGTCTTCCTGTTAATTACTTTTGAAATCTTTGATGGTGGAAGGAACAGAAATCAGAACTCTCCTAGATCTAACAAGAGACTGGATACCGAATTACTAACAAAGAATTCTGTTTCCATTTTAAAAGAAAGCAACATAGGGTAGCTATGAAAGTGCTGACATTGGGTTAAAATCCTGTTGACAGGGCCAGCTGGTGGCACGGTGGTTAAGACACTGAACTCCCACATGGCCAACTGCAGTTAAAGTTCCAGACCTGGACACTTGAAAATTGCACCAGGGGCATGTGTGTACATGTCCAAAATTCCAGGAGAATATAAGAGAATGAATTGCAAAGTGGCCATGCCCCCTGCTCCAGGAAGTGATTTTTTACTTTCCTTCTCTCTGTCTCTCTTCTGGGAGCACACGCTGCCTATGACAAAAACCTAAAAACGAAAAAATTAATTTAAATAAATAATAAAAAACACTGACAGCACACAGGCATGTCCTGTAATAGATGCAATAGAACTCATTTCTCTATGCAAAATGCAGATACCGAACAAACCATGAATACACTGAAGAAAAAATGTGCCCCCATGAAACCCATGCCTGTGGAAAAAATTTACAAAAACATTACAACTGCCTAAATAAATTCGTTAATTAAAAAAGATTTGGTTGATTAAATACTTTTTAATATAATGGGAATTAAGTTCCACTAGTAAATTAGAATAACAATCTCTCCAGACTCTAAAGACCTTAATATCTTGTCATTCTGTAGTGTAGCTTAATTAGCATGTTTGTTTCTAGGATTAGAAATCCATCTGCTCAGGTAATTACTATTGTGTTAATCTCTATTTTTTTCCCCTGATCACAAAAATTATCGGTGGTTTTTCTCTTCTACTCATTAAAATGATTATCATTATCTATTTGATGACTCCTCTTGACACACAAACATTAAAAATACAATTATTTTAGCACAAAAAAATATTGTACATCAAATATATCAACTAACTATTCACTTCAGTGGTTTCGCCTTAAATTGTACATAAAATCTCAAAGGCCAAGTGTTATGCCCATTTAACTTACTTTTCCAGTGTCCCACATAGAATCCTAAATTGGTAGAAACTTACCTGGTATTCTAATACATATTTTCAAGACTAATGACTTTATATTTCTAAAAAACATAATACTTTGGGACCAGCCAGGTAGTGTGATAGTTTAAGCTGCTGGATCTCACATGACTGACTGTATGGTTTGAGTCCTGAACCTAGTGGCTTGAAAAACACACCAGGGTCACATGTGTATATGCATACACATGTCCAAAGTCTCAAGAGGAAAATGAAGGATAAGAGATTGAGGTGTAGTCATCCTACCTGAGGGGGTTCCTTCTTATTCTCTCTCTCTCTTCCCAGTGAGCACACACAACCTATAGCAATATTTTTTTTTAATAATAAACAAGACATTTATTTTTCATACTCATTTGGGGGAAAGGAGAAGTCAGTTTGCCCTACCTGGTAAAGGTCTTTCTCAAAAGATTCTCCATTAATTCCATAGAATCAGATAGTTTGCTTGATCTCAGGTAGCTTCATATTCTTAATTCATAAAATGAACCTCATTTTTTTTTCTTTTTTTTGGAGAGGTTTTTGCTATAGGGCGTGTGCACTCGCCAGACAGAGAGAGACAGAGAGACAGAAAGCGAGAAATCACCCCCCAGGGGAGATGGCCACACCACAATCCCTTCTCCTCCATTCTCCTCTTGGAATCTTGGGCATGGGAGTATAAGCCACTGGGTCAAGCCATGGTCTACTACGTGGGAGTCCAGCGACATAGCCATTACACTAACTGCTGGTCCCATAAAATGAACTTCCTTTGAAGAGTGGTCAAAGGGTAAGCCTTTGTGAGCAGCTTCATTGGTGCACAGCCAGACTCCCTCTCTGGATGAAGCTTTTTCCACACTGGCCATACACTGGCTTCCTTTCTGACTGAAGGCATTCCACACTGATCACATCTATAGGGCTTCTTGCCACTGTGAACTCTTCTGTGAACAGCAAGGTTACTTTGATTCCTGAAGCTCCTCTGACAAAAAGCCCACTCGTAGGGTTTCTGTCCAGTGTGGAGTCTCTCACGGACGGCCAGACTAAAGCTTTTCCCACACTCCTTGCACTGACAGGGCTTCTCTCCTGTGTGTATTCACTGATGTGTGACAAGATTGCCTTTGGCCCTGAAGCTTTTTCCACAGTGGGTGCACTCAAAAGGTTTTTGATCAGTGTGGATTCTTTCATGTAATGTTAGACTACCTTTTTGCCAGAAAGATTTTCCACATTCTTGGCATTCATAGACCTTCTGTCTACTTCAGGTGAATCTTCCTGTAGTGTCTTAGAATCTGGGGATTTTTGTTCCAGCTTCTCTCTTCTGAAAGAATTCTGGAAATCCCAGCTTGAAGATCCTGTGGCCTCAGAATGATCATATATGTGGTGGGCTTCTGTCATCACATTCACTGAAAAATGCTGCATTCTGGGCATATCTTCCATGACAGTCTAGCAGGGTAGCTGTTGGAAATCCAAACATGTCCACTCCTGCTGTACGTCCTTAGTCACCACCACTTCATATGATTCTTCCACGGGCTGTTCCTGAGCACCACAGTGGCGCACACCTGCAGACACAAAAGCAGCCTATCGTGAATTTTAAAAAAGACTTTTATGTCAGTTTTCATAAATATGCTTTTAGTTATTATACCATTGTGTTATTATATTTTACAATATTTTTATACACCTTTAAAATTTTTTACTTAAAATATTTATACCCCAAATACTGAATAATGTCTTTACTTTTCTTGACAATGATCCCAAAATACATATAAGGACTATTGTCACATTTGCAGTCTAAGGATAGACTCTTATATAAAATTTTGTGGATTCTTGTTCAATACATTTACCTTAGGAGCTGAACTGATAAATTCTAAAGCTCGTTAGTGTAGTTTAAGCTATAGATATTAGCCCATAAAAGTGAGAACTTATGTAATATGAGATAGAGAATTTTGTCTAAGACAAACCTCCCAAGGAAATATAAAAGTCTTTCCTAAATTTGTTGCTTTATAAACTTATCATTGTGTCTGTGCCTCGAACCACATAGTTGGCCATGCGAAATTATGTACCTTAGCCACCACACCACCAGCTTGCCCTCATGCACACTTTGTGTACATTTTTTTGTATTTTGT